TATTACATTAACGAGAAAGATGAGCCATAATATTACTAATATTACATACAGAATGGTTTTTAGTTTAATGTGTGGTGTTCCGGTGTTGTGGAGCTAATCTCGTGTAGGTGTAAACAATATTGATATACAATTTGTTTACGTTTACAATACGTTTAACAGAGATGTTTAACATTGATTAAACGACAACAATCCCCGCAAATATACTTATTTTCAATATATTTGGCTATTATTTAAACTAGGTTAATTTTTGAAAAACGTTCACATTTGTTATGAAACTGTAGTGTAATGGCAATGTGGTTAGTTTTCGACAACACAGGCTGCTTGACACGAGAATGGAACATTGATTTCCTACGGCATGCTGAGTTCAGTGAAAAAAAAAACGATTCTGGATCAGTAAACCATTTCCATTAATGACGCCATTAGTAGCGGTGCGTTTTCCTGGCTTAGTAGTGTAAACTCTCGTCATCTAGAATATAGTCAAATCTTTGATGATGGACGACTGGAGATCAGAGATATTTCGGACCTGATACAAGCGCTTCGTCGCCAGAGGGCGAGATTTATAGGAAAGGTGTATTGACAAACACATTTGAGAAATAATGGAATGAATAATCCAGAAAATAACATAACCGTATACATTTTTTTACAAACAAGTAATACATCTCACTTATTTTGAAATATATTGTGTTTAAGCAAAAATTAAATAAAGTATGGGCCATCAGAACACATTTTCATAACATTTTTAGTTTTCACTTATTATTATTTTTTCCGAATATTTAGATATAGATATTATTGATCCCTGCATAATTTGTTCCCGATTCTGACCTCCACCCTCAGAGTTTCAACTCACCATTATGCAATTATTATCTACAATGATGTCATTTTAAAATATGTATTGTTATTAATAATTGTCATGTATGAAACTATAGAATATAATTTGTATTGCTTCAGAAAAATACGTATTTTTTTGTTTTTGTAAGAATGCATTAAAGTTGCATTCCCACTTTGCTAAATACACTCTCTGAATACAGAGACATTTTCCCTTGAAAGTTAGTTATATTAGATGTGTTTGCCCGAGGGATAAGACCCTCAAGTAATTTCAAAATAAAATAGACGGGGAAATAGGAGACAGTTATCTAATTTTATTATATCATATATTTTTTTAGCTAAACCAGCATAAGTTGTTAACACATTATTATCTTATTCTTGTCTTCCTGCAGAGTGTAAATCAACTTTAAACATTAGACAATAAATATGTCGTTTTAAACATGTCTTTAAACCTTCTTTATAGAATTTATAGAAATATCCGTACACGGAAGCATATTTTGCAAATTAATCTTCTTCTCGTGAAAAAAATGTCTTGTTAGTAAAGAAAATAGTAATTTGCTGATTTGACCACCTTATTCACCCTCCCACAAATGTATTATGTATATTCCCTAACTCGATATGCCGTCGCGTGTGACTAGCGCCACCAACGCCTATCGCCGACAATGACTAGCAATTTTATAAACTGGCCATTCGTCCAAAACATTTTGCATATTTACATGTTATTCTTACATTAAATTATTTAAAAATAAATTAAAATACCTAATAAATTGAATATCTGAATATTTGTATATTTAAACGTGTCATAGACTAGCTTTTTTGTAATATTAGAACAAGTACGAATGACAAGCTACAAATTACATGAAGGCGAAACAAGGTAATACTGTAATTTCGATATATTTTACGTAAATCGCTGAATATTCTAAAACGTATTTCGCCATATCTCGCAATTTCTTGCTGTAAATATGGAGAGAGAAGTCGACTTTCTTGGAAAATATCGAGCAGTTTCTAGTAAGTTGAAGAAACGTTTTTTAAGAAAGCCAAATGTAGCGGAAGCGAGCGAGCAGTTCGGAACACTTGCGAGGACCCTTGAAAACCAGGAGTGTCCCCAATATGCTGGTCTGTGTTGCTTAGCTCAGGCGAGATGCGAACAGACGCTGGCGAATTCACCGGGGGAGGCACACGCTTTGACGGAAGCAGCAAGGTTGTTTCTGCATGCTGCCGAGAACGATGAAAGCTTGTACTGCGCTCATTTTGATGAACATCTCACGGCAGCCATCAACTGCCATAACCACGCAGTACGAGTGCTGACTGAACAGAAACAACCCGCCCTGGCAGCTACGCTGAGTCTACAACTAGGAAATTATCTGAGATCTATGGGAAAACCTGGAGAAGCTATGGGACATTTCCAAAGAGCCGCTGAGTTGCAATTCCAAAATCCGTTAGATTGTCTTGCTTCACTGGGCTTAGTTGCATCATGTAAAATTGAAACTCGCGATTATGAAGGGTCGCTGACTGTGTTAACAGAGATGGAATATTTGGCTCAAGAACGTGGGATTTGTCCGAATAGCCCACACCTCATTGGTGCATTCTCTGACACGGTAGCGAGATGTGAAATCACGCGAGTTCTACTTCTAATGTTGTTGCAGCCGACACCGCATCGTATTCGTCCAGAGCACGGACAGACATTGGAACGATACTCCTGGCAGTCAGTGGAAGACACAGACACTGCCATCAGTTGTCTAAGTGAGGAAATGTTTCTTCTTCTCCAGTCTGTTGTGATGGCGTGCCAGTCTAA